AGAATTTTCCCCCCCCCCCCCCAACTAAATTGGCCAACCAGAGTTCATACAAATCTAATAATAATAATAATTAATAATTAAATAAATAAAGCTAAAAACATTCAAATAGGATTAGGGAGTTAAGCTCACAAATAAGACGATACGTGCCAAATCAGATAACATACCCAAAATAGAGAACCGACATTTACTCCGTGTAAGTCCTTCCGCCAAGAGGTAAAGAGTAACCGGAAGACTGAAAAGTGTCGGAGTAAGGATTTTCAGCGGGAACAAGGGGGTTTGGTAAAAGAGTTGTGAAACTGCAGAGTCCACATAAGAAAGTCTAGAATGGGGAAAAGGAAAAGAGGAACGGAACAGAATGGGCGAAAAGGAAAAGGATAAAAGAAAGGGAAGACGAAACGTAGAAACACGCGTTTGACATTTTCAATTGATTTGTAGAACTCCCGGAGTGATACAGTGAAGAAGCCTGCTGCATTTGGAAAATGCTTTATGTACAATATGGCCGTACAATATTGGGTTGCAATATTAGGTGTACGGCTATAGTTAATTGTGGTTGGACGGCTGAGATGGAAAGAAAAAGAGAGCATTACATTTCAGGCAGCCCCACTTCAATTCAGGTGGGCAGAGATATCAACAAATCGAATCGAATCGAATCGAGCTTGAGCTTGAGCCTAAAATTTTAGGCTCAGCTCCACTCGATCAAAATGGTCGAGTTTTTTTACGAGTTCGAGTCCGAATCGAGTCGAGCTTTTGTTCGGCCCAAACTTTCGGCTCGTAGGCTCGGGCTTTTACGAGCCGAGTCGAACAAGCTCGGTTTTTTTTTTAACTGCCTTTTTAAAGGCAGCAAACTTGACATAATTCTACATTGCTGTCTCTTTTTCTTCTCTCTCTTCCTCTTTTTTTTTTAATAAAAGCTTGTAGGCCGGCTCGGCCCGTGTCCCCAAAATGGGGCTCGTTGCTCCGAGCCAGGCCACGGATTGTCCGAGCCGTCGAGCTTTTTTGACATCCTTATAGGCCGGAATTGGAAGAAAAAGGCCTTCGTCAGCCCCGCTTCAATTTACGCTACAAGAAAAAGGGAATTCTGCTTCGTCAGCCCCCAACCCCTAATTTTGCTCTTGCTTCGTCTGAATATGTAATTTTTCAGGAACTCCAAAGCTGTTGGAAGAAAAAGGGTCCTGTTTCGTCAGTGTTCATCTTTTTTCCGGGAACTCTACCAGACGACGTGAACTCTACCGGCCAGTATGAAGCAACCCATTGACTGGTGCATGAAGTTTTGAGTAAGTTATGGATGTTTACTTGGCTAATAACAAGTTTTGTGTTGTGGCCAATTATAGACAAGTTAGTGTTCCCTTCCTCTCTTTCCCCTTCGTACCAACTGTATAATGGAGATGAACACTACGTAAATATGCATGACATTACATTTAGATGCAGATGTAAAGATGATTATAAGCTCTTCTTCTGGTTATGTAAAATGATATAAAAAAATTTAGATCAACATATCTAACTAATGTGTCTGCAAATGTGATTTTTCAAGTAAACCGACTACTTCTTTCAGTGTACATGAATGTACTAAACTTGGTTTCCAGCATTTTATATCGTTGAAATACAGTAATTTCTAATTTCTATTTGTGTTGATTATGGGAGAAAAGAAACAGTATTTGCTTGTTTTTCCAACCAATTGGTGTTTTAACATTGTTCTATAGTGCTTCTTACGAGCTGGGGAGAAACTATGCAATCCATTTCCATGATTAAGGCCATCTTCAATCTTGCACCAAATTTTGCACCATTTTGCATCAGATCTTGTACTAAACTAAAATTCATCTCCAACCATTACACTAAAAATTACACCAAATGAACAGTATTTAATCATTTTCTTCCATTTTTTTATTCTTTATAATTTATTTATTTGAAATATTATTTATTTAATTATTTCATAAATATATAAATTATTAAATAAATAAT